TTCAGTAGTATTGTAACTAACATGTCATACATAAACTTTAGTAGTATTGTAACTAACATGTCGTACATAAACATCAGTAGTATTGTAACTAACATGTCGTACATAAACTTCAGTAGTATTGTAACTAACATATCGTACATAAACATCAGTATTATTGTAACTAACATGTCATACATAAACATCAGTATTATTGTAACTAACATGTCGTACATAAACATCAGTAGTATTGTAACTAACATATCGTACATAAACTTCAGTAGTATTGTAACTAACATGTCCTACATAAACATCAGTAGTATTGTAAGTAACATGTCCTAAACATAAACATCAGTAGTATTGTAACTAACATGTCCTACATAAACATCAGTAGTATTGTAACTAACATGTCGTATGTAAGTCATGTAAGTTACAATACTACTGATGTTTATGTATGACATGTTACTTACAATACTACTGATGTTTATGTTTAGGACATGTTACTTACAATACTACTGAAGTTTATGTAGGACATGTTAGTTACAATACTACTGATGTTTATGTATGACACGTTAGTTACAATACTACTGAAGTTTATGTACTGATGTTTATGTTTAGGACATGTTAGTTACAATACTACTGATGTTTATGTTTAGGACATGTTAGTTACAATACTACTGAAGTTTATGTACGACATGTTAGTTACAATACTACTGATGTTTATGTACGACATGTTAGTTACAATACTACTGATGTTTATGTACGACATGTTAGTTACAATACTACTGAAGTTTATGTATGACATGTTAGTTACAATACTACTGAAGTTTATGTAGGACATGTTAGTAATAATGCTACTGAAGTTTATGTACGACATGTTAGTTACAATACTACTGAAGTTTATGTACGACATGTTAGTTACAATACTACTGATGTTTATGTACGACATGTTAGTTACAATACTACTGATGTTTAGTATTGTAACTAACATGTCCTAAACATAAACATCAGTATGAGTGTTATCAGTAGCATTATTACTAACATGTCCTACATAAACTTCAGTAGTATTGTAAGTAACATGTCCTAAACATAAACATCAGTAGTATTGTAACTAACATGTCATACATAAACATCAGTAGTATTGTAACTAACATGTCCTAAACATAAACATCAGTATGAGTGTTATCAGTAGCATTATTACTAACATGTCCTACGTAAACATCAGTACCAGTTTTATCAGTAATATTGTTATCAATGTATGCTATATGATTCTCCGTTTGAGTTTTTGCTCAGCAGAAAGCTGTAGGAATACTCATTTGAGAATTTGTTTTGACAGTATAATAAGTGAAAGTGTTTCTCTAAACTTGTTTTTTTTTAAAGTATATAATTTTGTTTTTCTGTATGAAACAAGAGGATAAGGAAATTATTTTATATTTATTCAGTGTTGTACAACTGAGCCTAACTTAATACATCAGAACATTATTCTGGTATACATTAAAATCCAGTCTTGGTGAAATTAAGATGTATAGAATACCTTTAAAGAAGTATAATATTTTTTCCTGAAACAATGTTTTGATTATGTCATCATTACTAGTTTTGTTAGCTTGTGAGTTAGAAGGAATATTAAATTGTTGTATCTTTCCTCAGAATAAATACCAGTACTTTAGGTTATAAACTTGTACACGCGTTTTTCTTTAAACATGTAATCAATCTTGAATTTTTTTTTTTTACTCTTATTAGAATATGTCTTACTACTAGTTTTTGTTAGGTCCTAATGTTTGAATGTTATTTTATATTGGTAAACAAGATAAGGTACGTGTAGAAGAATTTGGTGAGCAATGTATCTATCCTTATTGTAGTCTTTTCTGACAACCAACTATCTGCAATTGTTATTCACAGTTAAAACATTCCTGTAGTTTAATGTACTCCTCATAGCACCATTAATGAAACTGGACCAGTTTGTTTTCTTTTATCTCAAACTACAAGAAATGAATGTGAAATTATTATAGCTTAAAAAGGCCAAGAAAATGGTGACAACTAATAGTAGTAAGATCTTCATTAAGGTAGGATACAATAGATAATAGAGGAAGAATTTGTTAAAGTAAAAATGATTCATTTATGAATGAGTCAATTTCTGACAGTAAGTTTATAATTGGCTCTTTGTTAACAATGTCATTTGTTTATGTCCAGAAAGTTAACTGTGACTATTTGCTAAAATTGATAGCTATTTAAATAAAAAAAAGTTTATAAACTGGTAAACATTTAAACTTTGGAAATTTATGATAAACAAAAATGGTAAGCATATAAGTAGGCTGGTTTATTAAATATATATTTGTACACATTTCATGCCAAATACATATTATTCTAATAACCCTAACTTGCAAATACCAGTTACACAGCTAAAATGAAAAAGAAATTTTGAAGTTGCAATAATACACTAGACTATTACTAATTGACGTATTATTATTATTTTTTTTAGAAATAATCATTTAATTTTTCACAAAATATACAATGAAGTAGGGCTTTATGAAAAAGTTTTGACAGGCTTATCTGGATCAACAGTAAACTCAATCTTGTAAGGTGATAAACTGAGATTTGATACCTATGACATATGTAGGGTAGAGAGCCCTTTTCATTGCTTTATGCTGAAATATATTTACCCCTTTTAAATTATTTTAGTCAGAGAGAAGTTCAGAGGATAAACTAAACAAACTGGTGTTGATCTGTTGCACAAACTTTTTCTTAATGTTTCTATGAAATATATTCATTTGTATATTATATAAGTTTTTTCAGTAGTGTAATTACAGCTGTTATTTGGACAGGTCTAAGCACTGGAACTATTTAATTGTGCAGTTTTTCTATTAGGTTTTCATTAATAAAAGTTAGTGATATTGGAAAATCAACTTTTATGATTTATGTAACATTTGTTGAACAATCATTTTTCCTAATGCTGGTTCAGTCAGTATAATGAGTAGACAACATTTTAAAGAAGGATACCACTCTGTCTCGGTTTGATTTTTTACATATCCACTGATTTTAAATAACAATTAATTTGTTTTTGATGAGATGTGCAAAAAGAACAGAAGTCATATTAACAGCTTACTTGTTGCGATGTCCATCCAGAATTAAAATATCATGATAATTCTTGTTGAGTAGAAAGAATCAGTTAGACAATACAGATTTGTTTGAACAAAAGTTTTAACGTGAATCCTTAAATGATTAATGAGAGCAGCTGTCTCATTTCTTGAAGAACATTTATTTTATATATTTATATTATTTGTTTGCATGAAATATAATCTACCAAGTACCCATTAAAAAAAAAATTACTGTCACTGGAATTAATTTTAGTATAAACAATAGATAACTGCAGTTATGGAACATTTAACAAATATAAAGTTCTTGGTATAAGTTACAATGGAAGTACAGAAAATACAAAATCTATTAATGTTTTTGATGCTTGT